GCTACTCTACACTGCTCAAAACTCGTGTTTGAATCGTCAGTGGCAAATCCTTTAAATGAAAACGTACTTACGTGAGTCAGAACTGCCGGCATTTTAGTCTAACGTTACTCTCCCAGGATCAGTAAACAGTCCTCCATAAAATGTGCTGCACACATCTGAATATTTGGGTTGTACTGTTCTGGAACAGTGTTGTAAATACAACTTAACCACTGATTTCTAGTCGTGTCCTCTTTTGGAAGACCAAACAAAGTAGTTTCGCTTTCACAACGAAGCACACAGTGACTTCACGACATGACAGCGGCGGCAACAATACTACAGCGTGAATAAAAGTTATGCCTTCTTTCTTTGTGTGAACATTTGGGCGGTGTTATGCAAATCTTCCCACATTGTGACATAGACATGTGGGGGCGTGTTAGAACGAGCCGTTTTAGGTAGGCGTGGTTGACTCTTAACTTTTATAAAGAATATCTCTTTCGATTTGAGACTTTAGTCTTTGCAACTTTACAGATCTTCTTTATGCACCAAGAGCTTGTAACACTTCAAAGAGAAAGGAAAAATCGCATCATATGACCCCTTTAACATGGTACATGTCTGAAAACATACTAGGCCTATTACTCTGGGTATTGTCCAAAAAACATGGTGTTAGCATGGTAAATGTCCAGAAAAATTGCAAAAATAGTATATTAATATGGTACATGTCCCAAAATTGTATTATCATGATATATATCTAAAATCCACAGTATTAACATTTACGTGTCCCCCCAAAAAAATGTTAATATGTTTGTGAAACAACCTGAGATTTAGGATTGGTCCCATTGTTCAGCATAAACTCACTGAGCACCGAAGGAGCAGATCTCCTGAGTGTTTCTAATTGGAAGGACTCTCAGTTATTCTACTGAGATATGTTATCCAGTTCACCCTGGGGGCTGAATATATGAGACAGTTAACAGGATTCCTAACGTGGACCGTCTGCCGTGTAGATCCAGCTGAACTGGTAGAATGAGTTTAAACTGCTTTGAATTATAAAAACACCATTTTGTGTCTGACATAGATAGCCTATATTTGGACCACACATCCAAATTCATTTCCCTACATGGGTAAGTAGTACACAATTAAATTATGGCATTATTTCCAGTGGGAGGCAAGGATTTTCTTTGAGCCCAGATTTTCAGAGTTGGGGGTATGTCAATGAAAAATTTGTGGTGGAAGCAAATTGATATGTTGCTGTAATTGTCATTGTTGATGGCACAGTTTAGTTTGTGTGCATTTTCTGTTCGTTTCATTTAGGAATAACAAGGTTTCCAGAATATATAACTAATTTGGCTTCTTTATGAGGCTGCAGGCTTGTGCGAAAAGACTACTTTCCCATCATTTTTTGCAGCACAACAATGATAAAATACACAGATTAAAGCATCAGTTACACCCTTAATTACTCACCTTTTCCCTTCTTCATGTTGTTGTACGAGCGCTAAAAAAGCCCTCTGTCTTTGTCGGGAAAAAAGAGAGAAAGAAATATGAAGTTGCACAGCAAGTTGTTATGATTATACGGCTGCAATTTTATATTGAGTTAATAAGATTTCTGAACTCATAAGTTGGAACATCCCAGGAGGACTTGAAGGCAGCGTAAGTGTCTTTCTCAAGGGTACCGTAGTGATAGCTCATGCATCACCCCTTGCAGTGTTTGAACCCGCAACCTTCAGTTACTAACCTAGACTACACACATATCTTGTCCTTGCATTATGTACAATGTCAAATCAAATGTTTTTGTATGAATAAGTAATGTTTTAGTAATGTTAATATTTATTTATTTACTCCCCAGCAATTATATACTTATACAATGCTACAACAATACAGAATATTATCACAAAAAATCTTTCAAAAATCAAATAATCTCAAACAGAACATTGCCCCCTAGGGTATAAGAATGACTCCTAGATTTTAGGGTTATATCATCACAAGTTTCAGCTTTGTAAACCCTGTTTTTGCCTTTCTTTTTCCATCTGACCCCAGAGAGCGAGGAGTTCGGTCCAGTGTTCTTTCAAGAGCCAGATGATGGAATCTTCTCCCTGGATTCGGATGATAAGAAAGTGATAATGAATTGTGAAGCCAGAGGAAACCCTGTTCTGACCTACAGGTACGGTTTACTCATTTCATTAACATGGATAATATTTCATTAAATGGATAATAAATGACATTTAATTTCTCTGGAGCTTTACTGTGAATCCTTATTATCCTGCCTGAGTGGCATTTCTGTTAGACTAATGCTAATGACGCAGATGTTAGACTTCTCTCTGTGGATTCCTAATCAGAATTTATATAATGTTCTAGTATCATCATGTTACTCACTAAATTGTACTATCCTGTGATTCAGCGTATGTGTTACAGTCTCACAGAAGTTATATCCTTTAGGAAACAGCCAGCAATTCATCAATGTATCTGTTTCCACTTAGAGGGTTCGCAGAACATCTATAAGCATAAATAAATATGGGATGTTAGCAAGGTTGAATGATCCACTCGGTGCTACTGAGCTCTCAGACACTGATGTGGTTTTGAGTTCTGGGTCATAATTTAGATCGATATTCCTGTCTAAGATATAAAGACACATCAGGTTGTATGCTAACAAGCTCTTTAGCGGTTATAATATGATGATTATATTCTATCAAAACCTAAAAAAAATACACGTCTGAGACCAAACTGGGGACAAACCAAAACTAAAACATTCTGAAATGTATTTTATTATTTCAATTTAACCTAATGACCAATGCTTACTATATAATTTGAAAAGGTAAATGTTTCCTACATTTTCACTAGTGGTCTTCAATTAGTTTCCTCAGTATGTATTATATGTAAATAAATATATTATAAATATGTGGTTTTTTTTCTATATTTTCTAATTGATTCATTGCTTTTGCAGTTGGCTGATCAACGGAACCGTTGTGGACACAGAAGCGGATTTCCGCTACAGTTTGATTGCTGGGAACTTAATAATACACAATGCAAGCGAGGCCATTGATTATGGGAGATACCAGTGTAGAGCTGAAAACAGCATTGGCACCGTCCTGAGTCGAGATGCACTCCTGCAGTTTGCCTGTGAGTAATTTGACAAATTTTAGATGCTGAAATTTTGATTTTAGTATCATTGAGGAACTATCAAGGTTTTTTTTTTTCCTTCAGTTTCGTTTTGCTAATTTTGTTGTGTTTTATTATTTCAGTTTTGCTTATTTTAGTACATCATGGGCCAGATTTACTAAAGAGGCCGAATTAGCATTAAAGCGCAATTCCATAAAAGCACCGATGGGAGGGGAAAATCCTGCAGGTGATTTACTAACAATGCGCACATTAAAGAACACAGACGCAGCTACATAATTTCCATAATGACCAGACCAGCCCAGTTTTTAACATGCTTATTTTGGGCGTTAAATAATGGTGATAATACCAGTAATTTGTCGAGCGCAAACATTAGTAAATCACGTTGTATGATTAATTTTAATACTCTCCTCCCATAAATTTTTGCATCTGAAACTGAAACTCCTACAAATGCATATTTAAATAAGGTCACGCCTTGTCAGCGCTAATTCTTCACTGAACGTCTTTAGTAAATCCTGACAGTACTATTTGAATGCCAAAAGATGGTTTGTGTTGGTGCAAGCTGTTAGTAAATCTGGCCCCAAGTTGTCTTGGCATCTAGCTGAAATAAATTAATTGTTTTGTTGTTTTTTTTTGTTTTCCTGCTACAGTTATTTGGGTTGATATAATTGTTTAACTTTTGCTGGGCCGGATTTAGAGTGAAATGTTTATTTAAATTTTTATATTTCATATTGATATTATTCCCACGTGGCACACCCAAATGCTCACCCTAAAACTGCCTCCTTCTAATGCTACTAATTAAAAGTAAATGCAATTAAAGTTATTCCCATGATGCTTTGATCCTTTCCTTAAAATCTAGCCCCACAGTTTTCTTCATTAGATGGAAAAGTGCCCTTAATGCTTTGCTTCACGAAGCGAGCAAAAAGCGAATTTCTTTCGCTAGTAATCCCTTGGCTTCCCTCCAAAATATCATCACAAGCCACGGAAGCATGCAGCGTGGAGCTAGAGGCGCAATTGCTTGCTGGAAAACACATTGTTAGTTTTGCTTACAGTTTCCCCAGGAGCGATGGCCATAATGGCCTTATTGGCGTGCCCAACGGGATTGTGTACTTCACTATTCACTGCCCATGGTGTTTTCTGTAGAAAAACGAACATTTAGTGTACGTGTGATGTAACATTCTTACGAGTAGCAAATGCATTATAGCTGTGGTTAGGACGCCTATTTTTCACTTCCTAGACTGTAATATTGAAGAGGTGTTTGCTCGTGTTCTCTCGCCTACATGAAGAATGGTATCCGCCTTGCATTTTCTGTTCTCTCTCTGCAAAAAAAAAAAAGAACACCGCGAACGAGATCGTAAAATCATCCGGTCTTTTCTTTGTGTCTCCATATGAGCTGCCAGCCCTCATGAACACACTGTTCTTGGGGTTTTTTCTGTCGTCCTTGTCCGTCGCCTGGCTATAACCTTGCTTCGATCATTGTTGCCCATTCTGAAGGCCTGTCGGAGAGACAAAGGAAAGCTCCTGGCAGCAGACATTGGGATGCAGAGCTTTTCCCAGGCCTCCACATAACAAATGGCCACCATTCATCACCCTGTTGGACACCCAAGGAACTTTTCTTTTCACTTTTCACTCTTATTAGCAGGGGACAATCTCATGAGCCTGACATGCACAACCAGGTTGCAATAAAATGAATTAACCATTATTTAAACACCTTGGCACCAAAGCCAACATGAAACACTATTTGCAACCTGTTTTACGTCCACATTGTATTTGTGAGTCAAACAGGACATTGAGTGAGGAAAATGTAAGGTTTGACTTGATTTTTCACAGTTGATTGGATCAGAGTTGCCATTTGTCGAGGCTTGATGACATCACCTGAAAAAGCGAAACAACCGCATATTTGAATAACTGACAAATTGTGCACATTAACACTAATAAGACTTGGGTGATGAACAACGTTGAGACTCCTACTCTGTGAAACAGTTGAAAAACTCGACTGTTTTGTAATCAGATTGTATCAGTACCTCCAAATAGTAATACTGAACTGATCAGGATTCACTCTAAACCTTCAGACTTTCACAAATCTAGCTGGTCATTCAAGAACAGAGCAATCTAAAGTGCACTTAAAAGCTGCAAGAGCTGATTTTTGCTGGCAGCTACTGCTGTGCAATTTCAAAATGATTAAAGGCAATGATTCCCTGTGTGAAGTGCATTGGTCGAGGTCTCGGTTCATGAAATGCAAACAGCTCTTCTGGCCGTCCAGCGGTAGGGGAACATTTAGTTTGGATCTCTTTGTTTGCTGTCTTTGATTGAGGAAGCCGGGCATGAGTTTCCCAGAGATGGTCAATTCGGCCGTTTGGAGAGGGGCCTAGTCTTTCAGCCCGGCCACGGATGTGTCACAGCCCTCCCCTGCTAAGAGACCTCTCACAACTCTTGCCAGGGAAACCGGTTGGTTTGCACAGAGTATCCACAGCTCCCCTGGAGATTCAGAAATGTATTTTTATATAAATAAGTGGGAGTGAAAGAAAACCACTAGTCTGTATTCCTTTCACAGTTTGTGTGTTGTGCCCTCAAAGCATTCCCTGTTGGGCTTTTTTTCTGTCTCTTTGTTTTGAGAAGCAGAACTCCCTGGTTCAAGCTAGTTACCAGGCCACGCTTTGAAGACTGCAGGCAGAGGGAGTGTCTCTGATCTCACTCCCTTCTGAGATCCAGTCCTCTCTCAGCAGACCCCTCCAAAGTGGGAGGATGTGACTCAGGTACCGTGGCTTGAAAGAACAAGCCTGTGGATATGTACATAGGGTGGTTTTGTTCAGAACTCTACTCTGTTTGACCACAGAAAACAGGGCCATCAGGAACTGAATTCTCTGAACTAGAAAGTGGCTAAAAGTGGCTTCCAATTTGAAGGCCCTGATGCATTAAGGGTGCATAGCAGCTGGGTGCATGTGAGTAACCTTCTGAAACCTAGTGTAAAATCACAATTGGAACACACTATGGTCTCATGGATTTCTCAGGCATGTGATGTTATGGAGCCATCACAGGTCCAGGAGATTGCAAGCCATTTGGAAAATAGGCATAGTTGATATGGTACAACTGATGAAATGTATGTATGTATGTATGTATGTATTTATTTATTTATTACTTGCTTACTTAAGAGGGGACATACGCTATTAGTAACTGGAATGTGCAGGCTTGTGGTCATTTTTCCTTTACAAAAACAGTCAGTTATGCTGCTTGATATTGCAAACTGGCATTTGTTATGGTATTATTTTAATTTACTATTATAATCATAAATGCACTGGTTTGTATAGCATAAGTATTTTTACCATGTACTGAACTTTGTTATTTTTCTAGTTTTTTACCTATAGTGGAAATATTGCACGTTTATTTTTTATTTTTTTAATTAACAGGAAAAGGATCTCATTGTGGATTGGTAAATTGGACAATTTATATTAGGAAAATAAATGAAAATGATTGATTGATTGATTGATTGATTGTCAGGAAAAATTGTGCATTGGTGGATCTCATTGTGGATTGTTAAATTGGATAAAGGGGGAAAATTTATATTAGGACAATAAATGAAAACTTTTTTTTTCCTGTGTCCATGTGTAAATTGTATGTGAGCATCCAATCAGACATCAGTTTGATTAATCACAATTCATGAAGTTTAAATACCCCTTAAAAATGTCATGTATTGTCTTGACTGACACACAATTATTGAAATGAGAGCAACGGTTCTTGCAGATTCTTATCTTATCCCCCATCCTCCCTTATAGTTGAGAACAGATGAATATCGATTTACCTTACAAAGGTCTCATTTTACCATCCAAGATGAGGGGTAAGGAAAATATGAGATGAGCGCTTGGAAAAGAAGAAAGAAACCCAGTCAACAGATTTGTATCTTTTCTATCCTAACTTGGATCCATTATTTTAACATGGGTCTTTTTATGATGCTCATCATGAGAATCCATTGCTTAGTTTTTGACAGTCCTGTAAATGACGCCAATTTTAGCAGGACCGGCTGCCCTCATAATTTACCGCTGCTGTTACATTAGCAAGCGAAGAAAGAAATAAAACGAGAAAGAAAACTCGTTACATGTCGCCCCGCTCTCATGTTTCATGACCCTAGCTGTCTAAAGATATGTCATTTATCACATCTTTTCCTTTGACCATGTAGGAACAACAAAAGAAAATCTATTTTCCCATTTAGACTACAGTGGAGAGCATTGATTAGTTATAATTCATATGTCTAGAGTGAATTGACGAGGGCCAGGGATAACTCGCTGATATGGAGAACAAGAAGGCGGCAGTGACAGCGCCTGATAAATCAATAATCTGCGCTGTTACAATGGGATTCCCAGCCTCTCCATCCTGGCTGTCTCGTGACAGTTTGTTGGAGGAGATCACCTTTCCAAGGCCATACATTACACAGCTCATACCAATCCTTCTTTCCTGCCTGGAGCTGGGGAGAAGCGACAGACGTTTGCTGCATTCCAGCGGTCCGGCCTGCCAGCCACCCGCTTCACATAAATAAGATATAAACTATTGAATTGCTCTCTCGTAAACTTTATTTCTTTCTTTTCTTCAGTCCCAGAGAGGTGTCTTTTCTTTTCTCAGCAGATGCTTTCGTTTTTCATGGAAAAAAAGAAACTTTGATCTTCTTTCATTGTGAGCAGCCCCTTTAGGTTTGAGCGTTAAACACAGGTGTTACGCCTGTTGACAGCTCTTTGTGCTTTTGCTGCTGTGGAGAGGTGCAAGAAATCCTTGCTGATCACAAATGGACTGTAACGGCAGTTGACCAATATTGGATTTACCGAATGATGATACTAAGGTAGAGAATCTAGCTGATAACTGATTAATTTGCTTAAAGTTTCTAAAAAACACTAATAACAATGAAAACATTCAACTCAATGAAAATTAGTGCTGAACTTAAAGCAACCCAGGCTCTTTCGAAATACGTGCCTCTAAATACATTTCTGCAACACCGTTATTATGTACCTTACTGC